TGTAATATATTGAACAGTATCGGGTTAAGTGAAAATGGGGGTAAAGCAAAGATGGTTGCGATTTATAGTAGAAATTTGTATTTAGTTCTTTCATATTGAGATTTACAAAGATCAATTGGTTTCTCATTTAATGAATTTAACGCAATATAATAAATTATTCATTAAATACTACACCGAACTAATTTATCTATTTATAATCATTCTCGATTATATATGATCGAAATAAGATGATAATATTAAATTAATGAATAGAATTTAAATTCGTAATATTTAAAATTTTGTTGATTATGGGATTGCCGAGAATATTCTTGTTTGGGGTTTCAAATAGCTCACTAAAAAAAAAGGAAATATTCAAATACTAAATGTTTCATTGTAATATTCTGTAGTGTCCTCTATTAAGAAAATTGTTGACACTTCAATGGAAGTGTCAAACAGCTCAGCTGATCGCTCCTATAAAAATTATATGTATATAAAGATGATTGATATTTTAGTTTTCCTTCCTTAATACATGCTCTTCGATATGATAATAGTTATAAGTCTTTGCAAAACTGTGGACAATTTCATAAGTTTTGATGCAAAGTGAAATTTCTCCATATATTGAAAATTATAATATACATCTATTATACAGATGTACAATTATACTGTACATCTATCAGATTTATTAACTAAAATTTCTCTAATTCAAAGTACTTTCCTTGAATTTTAATCCTTATGATTTCTTCTTAAGCATAAAATATATTATTACTTTATAAAAGTATTTTCAATATAATCCTCATAATCTGTTAACAGTTCTGTTTAACTGCGTAGAACTCTAACCTATTGAAATTAGTTATTGCCGTTGTAAATCAATGTTCATCCATATTATATGAGATATAATATACATTAAAAATTTTATATTTTTAATCTTATAATAAAAATTTATATTTATTCGACTTGAAAGAATATGTAATAAACTTTACAACGAAAAGAAATAAGAACACTATTAATCCTATTGAAAAATATTTCTTAATAAATAATCGAAAGAATTATTCCTTATCGGGACTCAGTTAATACAGATATTAACTAAATAACAGCATAATAGTTTCTTCCAGAAACATATATTTGTTTTAAAAATGTCTTAGCAACATACAGTATTTTCATATTGGAAAATTAACATTCTAAAAATCTGACTTACAGAGTTTCCAAAAGAAATAGAACAGGGACGTCCATTTCTATTTCCATATTTAATGACGCGCCTCTCTCTTTTCCTATATCCATGCCCACATGAAACGTTGCAGACACTCCATTCCGTCCATTCCGACATTCGACATGATTCTGCACATTCCACTAAACACATGTCTGATACCAAACCTGTTACGAGAACAATTAAACCTACGTATTTTTAGAGAAGAAAGTACTCTGGACTCTAAATTCATACTCAACTGTTCCTGACCCTTCTGTTCGCAAGATTCGATCTTATTCCCTCTGATGTATCGTTTTCCCACGCCACATTCTTCGACACTTTCGTTCTTGTTTCTCTTAAACGATAAACTATCGTCATCCACGATGCAATCAGACCAATGACCCTCGGGAGTTGCCAAGACCTCTGCCAAAGGAAACGGTTTTGTTTCTTCTAAACGTATCCAATCACACGACTTTCCTAAACATAAAAAATTCTTAAATGGATTTGCCTCTTCACTTCATATAAGTAAAGTAATGCAACTGACCCAATCTTTCCCTAGTCCTCTTCAGAACTGAAGGACAACCTTTGACGTCTTCGGCAGACCAGGAAGTCCATTCTGTCGCGATGCAAGAAGAGTTGCAAAATATAAAACAAGGATCACTCGACTTCGGAACAGATTCTTCGTCTAACGCAACACAGTTCCGAATCGGAACTTCTATTCCGTTTTCCTTTACACACGAAATTTCTGGAAGATAAATTCGCAAACTTCGCTCAAGATTTAAACACACAGAAATGAATTGTTTTTGGAAAACTTACTTCTCACGCGATAGCNTAATAAGAAATATAAGGGAATTTTTATAATTTTTTTCGTCAAAAGTAAATAATATTATTTATTATTTATTTATTATTTACTTTTAACGAAAATAGTAGTTTCATCTCACCGTACTTTCTAATTAAGAAACTGCTGATAGCATCGACTCTCTTGCACCTAAACTAATTTTACGAATTAAACGAATTTTGTAGAGAAGTGAACGTAAATTTGTATTCATGAATCAATAATTAACATATTAAGGAAAACGTCTAAATATTTAATTACCATTACCTGTACGAATTAAAGAAGGAAAGGCGTATTGGTTTAAGTAATTTCCAATCGGATAGTAGTAATTGTTTATCTGTTTTTACAATACCACGACCGTTTGTTCAATTAAAATTCGTAAAATTCTTGCTTTAATTTAAAATATATATATTCTCCATCTCAAGTTAGTAATGTCTTGCCCCTGTAAATCAGACTTTTCCTAATAACAACAGAGTCATAACGGTCATCTATGTAATTCCGTTTAGGGGAACTTTTTAAATTGAAATCGTGTAACTTTTGGTATAAATCGGAAGTTCGTATATGATTAATTGGGACCTCTTTCCCTAAGCTTTTCATATCTGATCTTCGCTTTCATCTGTGTAACACCGTTCTCGAGATTAAGAAGGGACAGACAGACAGACAGAGAAACAAACAACTGGAAATTTATAGGGTCTACAAATTTTTTCAAATTGCAGCGCAATAAAATGGAAATTTGTATTGTAACTCTTCTGCAAACACTTAATATTTGGATATATCGATGCATCTTTATAGTAAATAATCCATCAGTTTCTATATAACAATTACTTTGATCACAGCGTTGACTTAGTAGTCTGATCTTTAGTAACAAATTTAACAAAATTTTAAGTAACAAAATCTTTTCTGAGAAAGTCATTTCTATATTAGAAAAACATTGAATTTCGTCATGGGTGTTAAGAGGCTTCAAAATTTTTAGAATTAAAATTGTTTGATGTATTCTAAATTAATTCAGGATAAAGTTCACTTTCCACTCTAAAAATTTATTCAATTAAAATGATTAATAAGAATTTACCTCAAATGGACGTCCTGTCCAAAGCCATCGATACAAGATACGTTTCTTGTTCTAAATCCTACCCTCGGCACATTTGAAGAAGAGTTTCTGTTTTCACTTGTCTTGGAAAGGCAGGCACTCCATCTGCCTAATTTCAGAGAATATTCTCGATCGGAACCTACTTGTTTTAAGCATTCTCTTCGGTGTTCGCATGGTTCCGATTGAATCAGAGGAGGACAAAATCGGCCTCCCTCTTCTGGAGCCACCAACACAGTCCTAATTCTAGTGCGATTGACCGAACCACACACTTTGCATTCTGACCATTCTCCGAATGCCGAAACAACACAGTTTTGAGGGCATCTCGTGATGCATCTTTTTTCTGTTATTGGCTTTAGATAGAAAGAAGAACAAACTTCGTCTGGAAGAGTTCCTAGATACTTTCCTTCGTGTCTACTCTTGTGAATGCAAACCACTTTTCTAGTCTTCCTCCCTGGACCCTCTTCGCAATATCTAGAGCTGTTAGACGACAGACAATCGCTCCACTTTCCAATCTTCCACCTAAAAATGAATTCTTAAATAATAATTCTAATTATTAATTATTCTAAGTAATTTTTAAATTAACTTATGTTATATTTTACTCTTCGTTTTAGCCCACTTGAAATCATCTTTTCAGTTTATAAACGACTCTTTGTTAATTATAAATACTAACAATAATAATCGTATAAATTTTGTCATTTTTAAATGAGTTATAAACATTTTTTTTTATTAACACCGAAGAATTTTCAAGACCAATGCACATAAATCAATTATTCAATACATAAATTAATAATGCATAAATAATAAACTATAATTTTCAATGGAGATAAAGAATCTAATTCTTATATTTTCTTAGAAGTTTATTCTTTAAATTTCTCTTAATTAAATTTTAATGATTAAACATTTTAGCTTTCACGCTATCTCATTGTATTATTTCTAAAGTATATATTTCGTCTATAACAGTTAAAATTTGTTATAAAATTACTTGATTACTATCTCAAATCTTTACAGTTACTATTTTATTTCGTGGATAATTCTTTCTAATTGCAAATTAATAAATACAGATAAATTTAAATCAATTGATACAGACTGGAGAGATAAAATTAATATGAAATGCACCTGGAATTCATAACTTTTCTCGTATAAATGTATATAAGAGACTTACCTGACGGAATTTTTATATTTTTGGCAAACTTTAAAACAAAGTTCTCTTTCCACTGGCTTTTTTTCGTTGTCACATTTTCTTTCTAGAGATTGATAACCATTAACTTCTACGCACCACACGTTTCTCTTTCTTTCTCCGTATCCACAATTCGTTTCGCTATAACATTCCTCCCAAGGACCTAAATAAAAGTATCAAATTCTTATTCTTTCCGTAAAAATTAATTGTATTTTAAAAAACTATTGAAAATTATCAAATACCGGTTGTCCATAAATACTCTCGAAAATGCTCCGAAACATTCTTTAACTCGACATTCTGTACTTGATGCAACAACACGAAAGCTACCAACAAGAATTTAATGCGTAAGGTCATCTGTAATAAATAATTTAACAACCATAAAATTCTCGATAAATAAGTTTATATTAANTAACCCAAATCTTCGGATATTATTTAATAACATTGTACTAAGCAAATACAGTTATTACAGGAAGTAAGTCAAATCTTTCTGCAAATAATATATCTTTATGTAGTTTATACAGAGATTAGTTAAATCTGTTTACAGAAAATTAGTTTTGATCCAGTTTCTTACATCTTCAGGGAAAAAAGAAAAACTTCTTCTTCCTATTCCAAACAAGTTGCGTTTATATATATACACACAAAGTATATAAATTTTTATTTAAGAAAGAATAAACTTATTTATTTATAGCTTGAATTTTCTTTGGGTTTGATATAGTGTTGAGTAGGAATAAAAGATTACCTGGAAAATATTTAAGAGTAATCTCCGGATGCGTCGTGGTGTCGACTGTCCAGGGATTAATTTCGGTGACGTTTGAGATGCATTTGGATAATTTTGGGTGCTCCTTGTCGCTTTCGTCGTAGATAGGTAAGGAGTTTGATACGCAGATGCATTCTCCGGAAGTGTGATCGCATTCGGAATTGTTAATGCTGCACCGGGGATGACAAGGGAGAAGTTTGTCGTTGCAACCACCTGGCACGTTAAAATTTAAACGTGAATGCGTTTTCTACTTCGTAATATTATCGATTAAAGTGTTTGAGGAAGTTTTTTATTCTATAAAATTATTCGATCGTTAAAATATAAAAGAAAAACCATTCACCGTATACGAGAACTCCGTCTGATCTCATGCACTGAACCACTCCGTTCTTTAATTCCCAGTTGTAAGTGAGACAAGGACCGTCTTCGAAAATAAATAAGGAGATTAAAAATAAACATTTATTATTTCTTTATTTTATATTTATTGATGAAAGTCTACCCCAGCAAGGTCTCTTCTCTACATTTTCTTCGGAACACTTCTCCGAGTTAGAAGCTTTTGTTAAGAGCACTCGAGATCTCGTTTGATATCCAACTAGAAAACAAAAAATATATTTATACACTACATATATATATGTAGCAGTCGACTAACACTTAGTCGCCGTTTCATCTATTTAAATTAATACAAAAGACGAATCTTGTTCGGAATAAATAAACCTTAAAATTAATTAAATTTTCGTGCTTCATTATACGATCGTGTTGATATTTCCTGAATTATTAATTTACATTCGATACTTAGTTTATATTAATAGATTTAAATTAGAATAATTCACTAATGTTAATTATTTTCCGAGACATAAAATATGTAAGATTAATGAAGAAAACAATTATGTCGTAAGACATCGTCGAAACTCTCTAAATTAAATTTAGTAAACTTTTCTTTCGATCGATGAAAATTACCGACTTGTCCTTCTCTACATCTTCGATGACAATGGCTCCAAGACGACCAAGTCGTCATCAGACAACTGCCCGCACAGGGTACTTGACACTCCTCCCTTTCCTATTGTAAACACTCGTATCAACGTTTTCTAAAACGTTTCGGATATTGTTAAAACAAATTAATCACCTGAACTCCTTTAACCTCTTCCAACCATCTGGGATCCAGTCGACCTCCGACCTCTCCACTTACGTTAATTTTTAGACAATTTTCTTTGTTCACTTTGACTCCGTCTGTCCTGCGACATTCTACCTTCCTTTCCTTGTAACCGTAACCACATTCTGCATCCTGTTGGATACATTTATACAATTAGTTATTAGAAAAGTGCCGTGTCTTCGAATCTCCATACAACTATTTACTTGTAAAAAGCAGTCGGACCAATCTCCTATCAACCAATGGTAACAGGGAATGTAAGAACATGGAATTTTCTGAATCAAATCGTAGGCGCAGGGTCGTCCCGTTTCGCTAGCTTCCTGAATAATCCTACGAATTCTCCATTTTTCTCCTAGGTGAGTAGATAAATGTATGTTGTATTTAGCTATGTGAATTAAACGGAAACTTCAATATAATAAACACTTTAGCAAAAGAATAAAATTAAGTACTGTACATTTTAATTTTAGTATTTCTATCGGTAGAATAGTAACTATAGTATTTCATAGAATAAGAATGGAGCCTATGTGTTAGATCTTGAATGTGTATCACTCAGCAGCTGTAGGTAAGCAACGAAAATTGTTCGGAACTTGATATTTCGAAACGTCTTTCTTATCATTTTTAATATATGTTCTATATATTTTATGCTTCACTTTGTAAGGAATATGTAAAATGGCTTCATACATAATCTGAGAAAGCTACAGAAGACTGTCGAATGGATATAATTTAAATATGTAGACTTTTTTTTATCATTATTAACCCAAATCTTCGGATATTATTTAATAACATTGTACTAAGCAAATACAGTTATTACAGGAAGTAAGTCAAATCTTTCTGCAAATAATATATCTTTATGTAGTTTATACAGAGATTAGTTAAATCTGTTTACAGAAAATTAGTTTTGATCCAGTTTCTTGCTTAAAAATTAATTTTTTTCACAATAAAAATATTAAAATTATTAAAGTAATGAATATAAATTAAGAATATTTATCATTTTAAAGCGAGAAAATTATATAATAAAATTAAACTGTAATTATTATGGCATACTTTTTCTATACGAAAGAAAATGTTTAATTAAAATTTATATGTAATTAGCATTCGTTATAATTATTGCAATTATAAGTAAGAAAAGAATACGGGAAAGAACCTTTATGATTGCATGGTTTGCATTGTTCTTCATTCCATTCAGTCCATTCGGATAATTGACAATCGATGGGACAATCCACGTTACACGGTTTGCTAAGTGCAGGAATGGGTACCTGATAAACATTTACGATTCACTTAAGAATTGTCAAATTAATGATTTTATTCTTAAAATAAAATGAATATTTCTATTATATTCTCACGAATGGTACATAATTATATAGGCCCTAAAGAAGTATTGAAAATATATATATTAGAGTAATTAGTGTTTTTTCTTTCGATCTGAAACATCTTTTAAATTAAATATAAAATAACTCAACTTAGGAAATTTTGTTATAGTTACATATTCAAAGCAAACATTTCGTTATTGGGAAAAAATTGTTCAAAAATTTTAAATATTTCTTGATTAAAACCGAGCGATTTGTCAAAAATTTCAATAATTGAACACGACGAGTCAATTACGGTGTCGAGTTTCCAAATATAAGCTTTTTATATTTTATATCTATCTACAAATTGTAAAATTTCATAAATTTTAGATGAATTAATTATCACATCATCTGTACATTTTTTTACTAGAAAATTTTAACTAACCTTTTGACAGTAGTCGGAAGAAACTGATTCTCCTTTACTCTTGATGCACGTTGCTGTTCTGGAACTGACTCCTTTACCACATATGGTTCCTTCGGGAAGTATACACGAGCCCCAACCCCCGATAAACCATTTGTAATGAAAACAATTGTATCCTACGTTACAAGGTTCTTCCTGTACCAAAGAAGGACATTTTCTACCGGAAGAAGGAAGAGCCATTCGCAATACAGTTCTGTTCCTGTATCTAGAGTAGTTACTGTTACATGGCTGAAAAATTCGTAAACAAAGAATCTCACATAATTAAAGTACAGATTTTATTAGTTATTTATCAACTGTCATTTAATTATATTAACCTGTTTACATTCTGACCATTGGGACCAGGTAGAAACGATGCAGTCGTCGGGACAATAAAAGTAACATTTTGCTATTTCAGAAGGACGAATTGAAGAATCGCAAAACACTTCGTCTACCTGCACAGGTTTTCCGAGTGCGTTACTCCGTCTACAGCTTCACGTAACGGGTACAAGTTAACGAGTTCGTAAGATGAATATTTTTAATTAATTATTTTTATTACCTGATGGTTCTGTTTTTAATTCCGGAACCGCACTTTTTCTTAGAAACGATGGAAATTCTGCACTCACTCCATTCTTCCGTAAACCATTGATAATAATCACAAGAAATTTGGCATACGTCTTCTTGAATCTCCTATATTTTCATGAAATATTTATTATAACTCAAGTTCATAATAATGTTCTAAATTCTACGTTATTGTTTTTGAACGTTTATAAATTAAACCAAACATTTTATCAATATTCAATTGCACAAATTATAATCACGTACTGTACAGTACAGTACATCACTGATTACTGAATTAATTGAAGGAATGATTGATTGCAATTATACTACTTGACCATAAAAATATATTTATTCGTTGCCATTTTCGTCACAGCTTTATTTTTCATTTATAAAAATCTTTTAAAGCTCGTAAAACGAATTTTTGCTTATCTAGAACCCATTTTCGGTGAGGAAAGTGAATTATTGTTATGACTGTTAAGTACACACTTTGGTCGGAAATGTCAGTGGCACCGCAGAATGCTACCATTAGATTAATGTTCAGATGCGTAAAAATATAATAAATAATATATATATATATATATACATATACATATTTATATGATATAATTAATAAAAACGTAAAATAAATTATCAAAGAATTAAAAAAACTCTATGTTTTTTTTTCCTGACAGCGTAAACTATCTTAAGTAAGGTATATTTTCGAAGATAGTTTAATTAACTTAATCGTATTTATTATTAAATATTAATGAATTTAAGTTAATCTATCAAAAACTTAGTAAAGTATTCCACGATGAAAACTCTATATTTTCATGGCATTGATTGATATCACCACAGGCATTTTTCTCTCGATGAATATTATTATTTTACTACTTTTCAATTAAATGTTATATAAATATTATTAAAAATGTATTAATAAAATATGCATGGATATTTTCGTTTTTAAAGAATATATACGAAGTATTTTACTTTATTTCTAGCCATCGTAAGAAATGGAAATAGTTTTGATCGCCTTTAAATAATTTCTTTTAAAAATTTAATGTACGAAGTTTTATAAAATTTATTACTTTTAATTAAATATAGTAAATATTTTTTATATGTTATATTTTAAGAAAATAAAATAAAGTAATCTTTACTCCAAATGTAATAAGTACATAAAGTAGAAGATAAATTACATCCTTGATTAAACCCGATAGCATACTTCATGAAAATCTTGATAAAATTTATTCTGAACGTTTTTATAATTTTAAAACTCTTTTATTTAATATTTTTAAAATTAAATTATATCATGAACTCAATAAGAGTATTAGATAACTCGAAAGAAAAATAATTAAAAAAAAAAGACGTATCTAAAAAAGAAGACGAAATAAACACGAATTTAATTCTCATTTATGAACTAAAGTAAAATAAATGAATTCTCAATTCTTAATAATAACAAAAGAATAGAAATCAAAAATAATAATTGAATGAAATAAAATAGAAATTTTTCGAGTAAATTGTTTAGTAATAAGAAAAAATAAAGAACGAAAAGAGGATTTCCTACAAAACAAATAATTTGTATTTGAAGATGTAGCAATTGAAGTAATATCCTTTAAATTCTTAAATTATATTCTATATTTATTTAATTATTTAATATAATAGCTAAATTACGATGCAATTGACCCAATTAGAGCGTGACGTTTTATAAAAATAAATAAATAAATAAAATGTTTTGTAATCTTATTTGGAGGAATGCCAAATAATAGAAATTATGAAAACGTTGGTCCTATTTCTCCATTTAAAAGATGTATCGAAACGATAGGAATATTTAAAAAATCTCTCATTTTATTCATGTTTCCATTTCCATAAAATAATCATTCTATTAATATTTAATTTCGGAGAAGTATTTAAATATTTTTATATGATTACATATAAACGTTATGGCTGACTTTAAAGCACATGATTACTTTTAGAATATAGTATCACATAAATCGTATAATAAGTAGGTCTACAAATTAAACTTCATTACAGTTTGAGAAGAATGAAGATAATAATTTATCATTAAATTTTTATGGGTGATTCAATTAAGTTAATGGAAATTCTTGACTTTCAAAAATACAAAAAAATATATATACAGAAAATATAAATATATTTATCACGAATTTCTTTATTTGGCTTTACATGAAGATAACTGTTTATGTTTGGTCTTACGAGAGAAAATTCTCCGATATTTACTTTGCAATTCTGAAGATCATTGAGTTTAAGAAGAAACGTAAACATAAAAAAAAAAATCCTTCCAATAAACTTAGCCGTTATCTAATATTTATATACAGGCAATTTATGTTGAAAGTTAAACAAATTTCTTAATTTCCTCTTATAACATTTTCATTATATTCTCTTTCTTTAATTTTCGAGCGCAAATAAAATAAAAGCTAACCTCAGATTTATTTGTTTATAACCTTTAAGATATTGTTTTCTTATACAATATAATTGTTTGGCTGTAATTTGAATTCAAAACTTTTCTCCTGAAAGGAGTTTAAATAGATGACCTGTACGGCTCTATTATTAAAGGAAAAGTATGACGTACAGGGGCAAGACACCACTAATTTGAGATGGAGAGCATATATTTTAAATTAAATAAATTAAAAATATGATTAAAAATTGCAACCCGGCATTGTGACGATGTTACAATAAAATAATTGCTCGTTTTATTTGCCTATTTTTGAAAAATTACATTTTGTAGACGGCAGCATATGCATTGTTTGCAAATTCAAGTGAATGAAGCTTAATTCGGAAACGATCGTGACAGAACACATTTTTCACAAATAATGTAAATAAAACTCGATTATTTAAAAAATTCGGTGGTGTTTTTCTTTGTCTCCTTTAGTATATTCTCGAATAAGAAGCATTTATGAGAGTTAGAAGCGAAACAAATCGGGAAATTACTTTTCCTAGCCAATGCAAAATATATCATGCTGTAATAAAATCGTATGAAATTAAATGTTAGAAAATGAAGTGTTTCTTGTAACCATTATGATCGAAAAGAAACCTTTTACAACGGAAAAAATCACTTTTTAGAACAGTATTACAGCACGAAGAAACAAATTTTTGGGTGCTTTCCTAGAATACAACGCAAAAACTTTTTATTTGAAACATTCGTGACGAATTTCCGATTCGTTACTTGCTGTCCACCTAACATACACTCGTGGAATTTTCTATGTGCCTACAGTTCATGCTACGCTTCTTCATTCAGTTTTCTCGCAAACACCCAAAATATTGCGGATTATTTCGTACGAAAGGTTATTCCGTGGTAATAATTTAAAAGTAAATTCGGCAGCCATCATCAGTGCCGTAACTAGCCATTCTGTGCTCTGTGCAAGAATTTGCATTTAGGCTCCTTAATTAATTAGGTTTGGGAAAATAATAAAACAAATACATGCATTTTGGATCTCCTTCAAAGTGGGCCCTGTGCGGGTGCACCTGTTGCATCTGCCTAGTTACGGCACTGGCCATCATAAACGATTATAAAGTGGTTAGCTTAAAATATAATTTTATTTTAACTAATATGTATAAGTAAGCTTACGTGGAGCAACTTCTTAATGATGTTTGCTAACTCAATACGCTGAATATTCATTCCGTAAGTATAGACGAAATCATTTAGTAATTATAATCCTTATGATATTGCGAGATCTTAGTTTTCGTCCTATAATACTTAACTAAAAATTTCACATTTTGGGAATTTCACCGACTCTTTCGTGATGTTCTGATCTCTCTGTTCAGTCACATTGCTATCTTATCGTCAAGCTAGAGATATAATTCTCTAGAATTATATCTCTAGCTTGACGACTCGATAACAATATCGGCACAGACAGATGTCTAGAATTATGTAGTTATAAAATATACAAACCGCTATATTCGTCTCCCGATGAATATAATAAGATCGTGAAACGAATGGAAGATAAAATCTAGGAGAAAATTTCTTATCTTGGAATATAGTTCGTTCGAGTCATATTTATATAGAAAAATAACAATAATGATTAGAATATGTGACATCGATTTGTTTCTAAAATTGTCATAACCTGACCTAATTAGACGAAGAGAATTTAACAAAGTATAATTAATTAATTAATTGGCCGAAGATAAACTGTAATTAAATCATTCGTTGTTCAAATGGAAACAATTTGGTCTATTTGACTGGATAAATTATTTAAAAATTCGTCTATGTCTTCATTCTCTAACACGATTGCAATTACAATTAAGAAACCATATTTGCAATTCGGTAATAATAACTTTTAAATTCAATGAATATAATCGTAATTAAAGTAACTATGATCATTTACGATACTTAATTTATTTCAAAAATATTTTATACAATATTACTCACTGTTCTATTAGAACTGTTCAATCAGATCTAGAGCTGGTTACATTCTCTTAAACGTTTTACGAAAAGAAAATGAACGGTACAATTTGTTTATGTAAATCTAGGTAATGTTATCCAGTTAATTGATTACAAAACCTACTTTTAAACAGTCATACTATTTAGCCGATAAAATGTATTGTACTGTACTGTACAGTAGCATTGATGCTATTAGATTGGTCATATCTCATATCTAGAAGGTCGGACTTAGTGATGTTTTTACTTGCTCTTGGCATTTACAATTCTTTTTATAAAACTCATTTCTACCCTCAAAATTAAGCATTTTGCCATTTTATAATAATAATTTAATATTAAATAAAGTTTTTAAACAAATTCTCATAACAGATGGCACCACACACAATTTTATTTATTATGATTAATAATATAAAAGTTATTTTTAAGTAAAATCTTGTAATAGCAGGAAAAGTTACGCAACTCGTTGCTGGATTTTTTAAAATTATTATTTCGTATCTTCTATCTCGCGGTTATGTGTAACACAAAATTTTCTACATTTTGTACTCTATATATTTATTTTTATCGAAAACACGACAATTTTGTATAGAAAATACTTGAATTTGAAACTTGAATAACGAATCTTGCAATTAAAATAACGTGAAATAATTTATATATGTATTTTCGCAGATTTGTATTGAATTTATCGTTGCAAAGATATTAAAAGAAAAGCTTGTTTTCGAAACTTTAGGAGGCATTTTTCTATCGGCTAGGCAAGAAAAAGAAACACGTGTAAAGCTTATCGACAAACTAATAAAATACTTTGACAAGAAATTTTTCTTTTTACATAATGGAAATATTTACTTTTACAACTTATTGAACATCTGTACTTGTGATGAAAAATGCAGTATAATAATAAGAGGAATTCTCGGAGCACATGTGACATTAATAGGAACATATATGAGTCAAATGATATACAGTACAACTCAAAAAATATTAATTTTGTTAAAACAAAGCACGCAAAGGATTATACGAGCGTGAAGTATTTAAAGTGCGCTTCCTGGACTTAACTATTTTTCATTTTCAGTATGCGCGAAATCTGTTTAGATAATAGGCCAAACGTAAATTTAGATTACCTAAAATTCTTTACAGAACCTTTGATTTAAATGAAGGAACTGCCCCAAGTGAAGTGAATTATGAATTCTAAATCTTTTATGTAATATATTGAACAGTATCGGGTTAAGTGAAAATGGGGGTAAAGCAAAGATGGTTGCGATTTATAGTAGAAATTTGTATTTAGTTCTTTCATATTGAGATTTACAAAGATCAATTGGTTTCTCATTTAATGAATTTAACGCAATATAATAAATTATTCATTAAATACTACACCGAACTAATTTATCTATTTATAATCATTCTCGATTATATATGATCGAAATAAGATGATAATATTAAATTAATGAATAGAATTTAAATTCGTAATATTTAAAATTTTGTTGATTATGGGATTGCCGAGAATATTCTTGTTTGGGGTTTCAAATAGCTCACTAAAAAAAAGGAAATATTCAAATACTAAATGTTTCATTGTAATATTCTGTAGTGTCCTCTATTAAGAAAATTGTTGACACTTCAATGGAAGTGTCAAACAGCTCAGCTGATCGCTCCTATAAAAATTATATGTATATAAAGATGATTGATATTTTAGTTTTCCTTCCTTAATACATGCTCTTCGATATGATAATAGTTATAAGTCTTTGCAAAACTGTGGACAATTTCATAAGTTTTGATGCAAAGTGAAATTTCTCCATATATTGAAAATTATAATATACATCTATTATACAGATGTACAATTATACTGTACATCTATCAGATTTATTAACTAAAATTTCTCTAATTCAAAGTACTTTCCTTGAATTTTAATCCTTATGATTTCTTCTTAAGCATAAAATATATTATTACTTTATAAAAGTATTTTCAATATAATCCTCATAATCTGTTAACAGTTCTGTTTAACTGCGTAGAACTCTAACCTATTGAAATTAGTTATTGCCGTTGTAAATCAATGTTCATCCATATTATATGAGATATAATATACATTAAAAATTTTATATTTTTAATCTTATAATAAAAATTTATATTTATTCGACTTGAAAGAATATGTAATAAACTTTACAACGAAAAGAAATAAGAACACTATTAATCCTATTGAAAAATATTTCTTAATAAATAATCGAAAGAATTATTCCTTATCGGGACTCAGTTAATACAGATATTAACTAAATAACAGCATAATAGTTTCTTCCAGAAACATATATTTGTTTTAAAAATGTCTTAGCAACATACAGTATTTTCATATTGGAAAATTAACATTCTAAAAATCTGACTTACAGAGTTTCCAAAAGAAATAGAACAGGGACGTCCATTTCTATTTCCATATTTAATGACGCGCCTCTCTCTTTTCCTATATCCATGCCCACATGAAACGTTGCAGACACTCCATTCCGTCCATTCCGACATTCGACATGATTCTGCACATTCCACTAAACACATGTCTGATACCAAACCTGTTACGAGAACAATTAAACCTACGTATTTTTAGAGAAGAAAGTACTCTGGACTCTAAATTCATACTCAACTGTTCCTGACCCTTCTGTTCGCAAGATTCGATCTTATTCCCTCTGATGTATCGTTTTCCCACGCCACATTCTTCGACACTTTCGTTCTTGTTTCTCTTAAACGATAAACTATCGTCATCCACGATGCAATCAGACCAATGACCCTCGGGAGTTGCCAAGACCTCTGCCAAAGGAAACGGTTTTGTTTCTTCTAAACGTATCCAATCACACGACTTTCCTAAACATAAAAAATTCTTAAATGGATTTGCCTCTTCACTTCATATAAGGAAAGTAATGCAACTGACCCAATCTTTCCCTAGTCCTCTTCAGAACTGAAGGACAACCTTTGACGTCTTCGGCAGACCAGGAAGTCCATTCTGTCGCGATGCAAGAAGAGTTGCAAAATATAAAACAAGGATCACTCGACTTCGGAACAGATTCTTCATCTAACGCAACACAGTTCCGAATCGGGACTTCTATTCCGTTTTCCTTTACACACGAAATTTCTGAAAGATAAATTCGCAAACTTCGCTCAAGATTTAAACACACAGAAGTGAATTGTTTTTGGAAAACTTACTTCTCACACGAAAGCCTTTTCCGCAATGAAGATTTTCGGCTAAGATACAATTGCTCCAAGTCGACACGTTCCAGAAGAAAGAAGAAGACGAATAACTGTTTAAATTCGGCAAACATTCTTTACCCACGTTGCATTTTCTCGTTTCCTCCAACGTTGAAGGACAGGGACGTCCTCCGTGCGCAGAAGATTGCAATACGAATCTCTCTCGACGCTGCACTATTCAACATAGATAAGAACCAGTTGCATAAACACACACAAAAAAGAACACTTTCAGCGAAGAATATCTTGATTGAAATTATGAGAATTGTCAAAACCTGAAAGACAGTCGTCTGAACAAGCAGTCCACTCGGTGAAGTTAGTAACTGCGCAGTCCACAGGACAAGGATAGTCGCAGGATCGAAAAATCATCGGTTTGGGTTCGGGAGAACATCTGACAAATATCATTCGTTACATCATCTGATTTTTGCCACATTAGACGTTTTTGGATGCTTACCTGTCATCGGGAACAGTCTGATGCAAAGCAGTGACGCATTGCACGCTTCTAACTTGTACGGATTTACCACAAGTTCCGTTCTTGGGTTTTTGACACGACGACCAATTCGATTTAATCCAATGATAACCAGAGCAGATTTCGTAATCGCACGGTTCTGACTCTGTTAATGTATCCTTGGCTGGACAAGGTTTTCCATCTGAAATGTTTGTAATTGTTTGAAGAACTTCTCTGACGTCCAAAACTTTAAAAAGGGCAAGAAGTAGGTGTAAATCATTAAAATTGTAAAAATGAACCTTATTAATTAGAAAACACTGCAGGTTTCATGCTGTAAGGTTCAATATCATTTGAGTGTCGGTCCACATAGGAATTATATGAAATCATATGTTACAAATATAATTTTAATTACCTGACATATCTTAATCTGAGCAGACAATTATTTGAATAATATTTTAGTATAAGATGTGGTTTCCTAGAAAGCAATGTACTGATTATATTGCTTGGCGTGCTTGACCGAACTAAAAAATTATTTTGCGTTCTGTAGAGCAGTTTTGATATACTGTATTTAGGAAATTTTACTGACATTATATTAAATGCAATATCTTTTCCAGATTATGCTATAGGCACTCAGTAGGATTTACTCTTTGGAAAACCGCTCGCTATTAAATTCCTCGAGTACTCTTGCACTGTATCTTTGCATCAACTGTTTCTGTTCAATGTAAAAGACTATTTCCATCAAAGGGAAACCGTATTTATTGCATAAGAATTAGGCTATATTCTTCTCTACTACACAGTTTTTGTGTTATCATCTAGGCATTTAAAAATACAAATCTCAGGTTTATAGATGAATAATTCTGTTTTCCGGGTGTTTACTTAGAGTTTCACACAATATTCGTATTTTTGCAGTTATAGTTTAGTATCTTCACATGATTAAATAGGTAGCAATCATCATTTGATACGCTAGATCTACATTTTGTACGGCCATCTTCATGCTTTTTTACAGCAGCGGAAAACGTTCTATTAACAAAACAAAACAACGCTATTTATTATTTTAAATTTTGTTAATATCTGTTATCTTTCAAGCCACTTCTGGCAACTCAACAATTCGCCTATATGTAAATTTATCCAGAGCCTTTATGACGTTACGCGCACAAAGCACAATTACAGTAAATCTTCCACACGCCAGTTGCTTTTAGTTAATTATAACTATAACTTTAACTAAATAACTATGCTATTCTAACAGTATGTCTCTACAGTTGACAACGCTACCAGTAATGTTACTGTCAACTAATTCTATTATATCAAATTGAAAGGTTGAGTACATTACAAAAGCCATTTTTCTGTGTTGTTAATGATTTACTTCTACTTCTAATGTTTTCCTTAATTAGTGGTCACCATTACATTTATTTTACGAGTGCGCAGTTACTTGCCTGATCCGTGTTCCGCGATGACCCTTCTTTGTCTCGTCCTGACTTCTTCCTTTTCTTCCGAATTGCATTCGGCCTCGCAGGACGACCATTCCGTCCATTCCGCTAAAACACAATCTCTAGGACAAGGAACGTAACATGGTGCCAACAGTTTTGGAGGTAACACGTGTATCTGACACAGAGACGAAGACACGTGCTTCTATAAAAATCGACTTTTATTACATACAAAATATTAATTTAAAATTAATTTTTAATATCTAAGTATTTACCCCTTTGGGATTGATGCAAATCGCTTCCCTTTTCATTACTCCTTGGCCACAGGGTTGTGTGACGTCGTGCAAGCGACACGAACTCCAATTTCCCGTCACCCATCTGACCACTTCCGGTTCCCGACAGGACTTCACTTCCACTAACCAAGGACACTCGTGAATGCCACTGGGCTTTCGTAGGATTTCTCTGGTCCTCTTCCGATAACCTAACCAACGAATGGCTCATTAATTGGATCGTCGACGCTAAACAGGACACCGAACACCTCACCTGTAGTTGATTTTAACGGTTCCCGAACATTTACAGGTAGACAGGTACTCCAAAGGGACCATTCGGAGACCGTGCATTTCTTGGTACATTCCACGTTGCATTGTTGCATGGATGGTGGTCTGATTTCTTTACAATTGCTTGCTTCCACGGGAATTAGATCTAAAAAGATATATATATATAACATCGATATAGACCGCTTAGAAATAAATCCAATTAAAGTAATGTGTTCTATAAAACTGACAGCAAGATGCAAACATAAATAATTTCGTAGTTTAAACTTTTTAAAGAATTCTATTTTGTAACAGCAGTCGTAATAGCATCCTTTCCTGATCTCTGCATAATAATAATATCATTTCAATTTATTAGGAATATATCTGTAGGCCTATAACAAATAAAAGATACGTATGCATTCTTTTTATTCCTAATAATATTAATAGAGATGTTTACTGTTTTATTGTTTAGTTTTTTTGAATATTTGTTGAAAAGAATTCGTTAAATTCTAATTTACTTCTAAACTGCATAGAGTAAATAAATAATGTATGACTATTATTATCTTTGATCAAATATTTACTTCTCTGATGATGCTTATACATTAGAGAACTTAATATGGATATTATATTTTATAATGCATTAATACTTTTTATATAAGTTGCAACAAGTTTTCTATATATTTGTAAATATGCTGTGTTATTTGAGCTAATCTCCAATGATTTTCTTTGAAACATTTGAATAGTTTTTTTCATATAATTTAACTGATAACTGTATCGTTACTTTCTAGAGACATTAATTTTCTTGGCAATCTCTCCACAATGACATCAGAAAAGCATATTCACAATCTTATTTTGTAGATCAGTGGTGTCTAAACTATGGCCTCCGGCTCGCGGCACTCCTTAACCCGGCCTACTGATAACTGATAGAAATAGCCTACTTTTAGTATATATAATATATAAAGTATTTGTGACCAGTCAACTATTTGTCAGTTCTACATGCAACTTATGTATGATTTTTCCCCACCAATAGAAAAGTTTAGGCGCCACTGTTGTAGATTAAATGCCAATTGAATCATAAAATTATGGTGATTAACAATTGTTAAAATATTAAAATTTTAATATTTTTGTTGAAATTGAATTAAGAAACAGTAAAGATACACTTTATAAATATAATGGAAAACAAAGTAAACATTTGTCAACTGGGGTTCGAATTCACCAACGTCTCATAGTATCTCTCCAATATCGTAAAGTTGTCAAAAGCTAACAATATTTTACATTCGCAAAACACTTCGTAGTATTTACGACTAAACATAAGAAACTGGTAACGACTTACAACATCAATAAAGATCGTTTTCGTCTTTAATAGAACCAATAGGAAGACATTTCTTACTTGTTAGTGACGACATATTTTCAGAATTTTCTCGCGTCGTGTGTTTGCAATGTCTTAGGAAAGATTTCTTTCGTACGACTTACTTTAAACAGTTTTAATTCCACCGTCAGGAATACTGTCAATTTTTTGGCATTAGATAACATCTTAGAAGTTTCGAATCAGAAATATTTAAAAGAGACGATCGGAGGAAACGATCGACTCGATTATCTATCAATGAGACAAAACACTTGGACATCGTCTTTCCCAGTATAGGCCTATAGGCTTGCGAGCGGTATTAGATATCATAGTATTTACTAGAATACTTTACAATATCGTAACATACCATATGCTTTGTGAATACAAGACTTTTCGTATTTGGCAAAACTTACGAGGAATTTCGGCATAACTTTTGATATGAGGTATTTGTGAATGTGGCCTCCGGTTCGAAAATGTCATCAACAGAGGATATATTAATTAGCAGCAGTACGTCTAGCGTAAAATAATAAAGTTACTGAACAAGTAAAAACTACTCATATTACAGAGAACAAAGCATTAGTTATAGAAAGTAAATTGAAGACAGACTTTCAGGTTTAAGCAGCACGGTAATATATGAAAAAATATATATTATATATATATATTTTATGCAACAAAAACGATCGAAGAGGAAAATTTTTATCTAAAATACGTCAAACGAAAATTAACGAGGAAAATTACTGATCATCGTCCTAAATCTTTACGTACAGTTAAAACGTATGGTTCCCTCCTGCACGCAACCACCCTGCACAACGATTGCTTATGCCTATATTATAATTTTGTTTATTAGCTCTGTTAAGAGCAAAGTCCGTTCTTAAACAGGAGAACTTGAACCTTCTGGAAGCTGATGGGATGCAACTCGTCTTCCTATAGCATTCCTGATGTATTCTATGAAATTTCAGTCCGAAGATCTTGCTGACCATTGCAGGCGAGTGAATATCGTCACTATCAAGAGTGCTGATCCGTATATCTGTATATCGTCAAAGAAAATGAAGTATACACTTACAACACTTTGGAAAAGTCCCACATGGTTTTCCAAAACCTCATCTCTCTACCTCCTTGCAGTAATGACACCCCTTGCAAAAATAGAATTCAGCATGGTATTAAGCATAATCTAATTCCGCTCCAGACAATCATACTATCACCTACAGATTAGTTTCTTTCCACGATATTCAAGGGACTATATCGGGTTCCCCTCTTTCTTCAGATCCTAATCCGATGTGAATTCTGTAACTGGATTTCAGGGAATGTAATATTGGCTCTATTCCTTCAAAAAACAATCTTCTGTGCAAATAGGTCAACTGAACACAGCGTAATGGGTGTTAAGTTTTGTGTTGTGCTCTTACCATATATAAAGTATAAGGCCCATCCTTTTTCCGTGAGAGAACAATGGACGATATTGTGTATTTAGATATACTGAAAAATTTTATAATTTTACGGTTAACAATGGTACAGAAATATGCATGCATTTTTAGCAAAAAGGCATTGTCGTTCAGGTGTCTGGAATTTCTCTAATAAACGTTTCTCAAATCGATGGATTGGTTGAGTACAACCAATAGCTGGCCACCTCTTTCCCAGGTTTGACAGCTCTTAACTTTTCCTTCTTAGATTTTACTTAGATCTAGTGCTTATTTTATCCTTGTCTAGAAATCTTGCTGAACTCAAAACTCGAATATCTGTCTCGCTTAACGAAGTGATAACAGATATATTTCGATGAGTATGGCAAGAAATTAAGTTCAGGTGAGATGTTTGCCCTATCAACAATGGTACTCACATTGAACCAAAATGACTGTTCGAGGCAAAATTTGATGTATTTTGCTATAAATTAACGTCTCAATCAATTCTGTTTGTCTTTTGATTTAATATGCTCTTAGATTTTTAAAGTTCTTTTTGAATTACTGTATTATCGAGTTCAATCAAATAAATCACGGTAGCTGCAAAAGACATAAAAACCAGATTCGACACTGGATTCTCCAGAGAGACATTTACGAAGTTTCAAAAAAAGTAAAAGTGAGAGAGCATAAAAATATGAGATTTTTTAGAATATTTTATATTAAACTGAAGAGAAAACAATAAACAATACTACCTTTGTTTCTCATACAAAGAACTGTCCTTGTCTGGAGTCCTCCTCCACACGTTTTACCTTCAGGAATGCAACGGCTCCAGGCGGAACGAATCCATTTAAATCTGCAAATTATGGAAATTCTCTGAAATATAATTAATCCCGTAAATATCCTTCTGCGCAGACGGAAAACGAGAGCAAACTTTACTCACTCGCTATCGCACGATTCCAATCCATCGCGGACGGACTTTCTCTCCACCAGGGGAGGACACGGCGCTCCCTCTCCTTCTGGAAGTTTTTCTATCTTTCTACGTCTACGCCTGAGTTCAGGATACACGTGTCCGTCGGAAGTGATGCAACCTTCTCCGACGGTGGTCCATTGGCTCCATTCGGACACCCGACAGTCTCGAGGAACTATACAGCTTTCGATCAGTGGTATCCGCAATGGAAAGTGATTCTCACACCAGCTGATGAAAAAAATAAGTACTTTAAATATAGAAAAAATAATATAAAAACGATGATCTGTGGGAGGAACGGGAAACTAACAGATGTGGGACAGATCGCCCATAAAAAATTTCTGGAGTTTTCTGCCAGCTTCTTTGTCTGTCTCTCTGAATTAATATAGTAAAACATTCGTTGTAAGTGAATTTCAGTTAGATATATGTATGTAGATACCATAGAATATATATAGTATAAATTGATTAAATACAGCTGTTTTACAGCATATCAATATTCGATATTTCATTATTATAACTATAATAGCTGTTAATTAATACATGATACACACGATTTGTATTTGTAGATATTGCATGAATTTCTAATTATTAAGAATTATAACGTGGACAATGCAGTCAAATTAGTTTAATTAATTTCTTGAAAGACGTTATTTATAGAAATATCGAACTCTACGGTTCTATCAATGTAAAGTGAATGTAAACTTGATTCTGAATAACTGGAAGAACTCTAAAAAGGAAAATGATCGCTTAATAGGAGTAATGTTGAAGTAAAAGTTATACAGTATTATATACGATTTATAATTTAAAAACTATGCAATCAACAATTTGTGGAAAATAAATAAACTTAGTTTTTTTGAAATGATAAATTGAATACTGTCTAGATCAGTTATGAGCAACCAGCTGCCCATGAGGTCCCAGGATCTTTGGCAATGTAATTTTACTTTTCATAAGGAAAAATATGTGCGCCCGCCAGAAGCCAACGAAGTTCCCTTGCAGCCTTCATGCAGAAAAAGTTGCTCATTGGTCTCGGTAGCCTATGGAAAACACGACAAGCCTGGCACGCGAAGTAGTTCAATCCAGGCAGATCCTCTCGTATTGCGTCGTATTATACCATAAATTCAATCCTATTTGGAACAACATTGATAAAACTCTTGCCATTATAAATTGCTCTGCATGATGTTATTATAATTAAATAAACTGGTGTAGTTTATAGAATTCTTGCAAATATTAATTAATGAAAATGCATACCTATCCGACGAAATTAAACATAAAAACTTCTCGCGTAATTAATTATTCTCAGAAAAATAAGAGATTTGGAATAAATGAAAGAAATAATGAGTTTAGAACAAATACAATTTTGCATTTGTACAACATATTTTATAACATATATATATATTTATTTAATTATATTAAATTTAAAAGTAAATAAGAAACTACAAAAAGGATGTTGTAGAGAAAACAAGTAGAAAAATGTAACTGCATCTACCTTCAAATAATTTTAGTTTTTAACGGTTTTATATAAATTCCGTCGAATAGATTCTAACCGGCCAGATTAATTAATATAAAATGTAGTAATTTAACAATAATTTCTTATCTTTTCGCTAAAGGAGAAAGTTTATTTGAGTTATTCTCTGCCTTCGTGCAAACCGGTTGAGGTTCAGTTGTAAAATCCTATTTTTTGCCTCAATGTGTATTCTATTTTGTCTTATATTTTATTTCTATTTATACAGACCTATATTTACTTTTATTGATATTGAAATGCGCACATTTCTACATTTCAAGAAGCAATTCAGATCGTGAAGCGAGAGAAATTTATACTACAATGGCAACATGATTCTCGATGTTTATCAAAGAAATACAAGCTTAAGAGTTCTCTAGTATTCATGAAGATTAAAATATATACTAAATATCATTTCTGTGTTAATTTTTCATATTTATTTGCTATGTTATCATATAAAATCAAGATAACGCGTTTATAAACTATGAAAACTATCTTATCAATAAGCTCTTTGTTGTCTTCTTAGTGTCTACCTTGTTATAATTGCAATGCATTCTCATATCTACACACAGAAACGATACCATACATTTCTTGAAAACGTAAAAATTAAAATTATAATGTATTCAAATAGGCCGGAGAAAACAAAAACGCTATAAGAAAAGCTGCATTCAACCAATTGATAGTATTATTTTTTCTATAACCAATTCTAAAAACAGTGCGTTAATCAAGCAAAGTTATCTTTATATAATAGAGAGGTTGCGGCCGACGTTCACGTTTTAAAGATGAAAACTTCGGCCGCAACCTTGCTAATACATCAATTTTAATCTCGTGTGAATTTTGTTTTCTTCATCGAAACTTGTCGCAGTTTCCGTTGATCTTTGTCTTCTCGTTTATTAATAGAAATGAAAGATGTGAAAGCATTCTCTAGATAACCGCACACATTTTATTAATTGACACTAACATTATCTGGTTTGTAACTATCTCGTCGCTACAACCAAGGTAATATTTATTTTATTTATGCATATAGTTTCTCTCTCTTTACAATTTCTTTCCGTTAATTCACTTTCAGATACTGTTAAACAACAGAATTATTCAAAAAGCAAAAAAGAAAACATATCTTTTTTTTTTCATTTTATCATCCTTCCGTAATGAAATTATTCACATCACAACGCTAATATTGAATAATACACATTTACAAGTCGACCCCCCCTATAACACTGTTGATTTTTCCGTTTTATATGAATTTCATGTTGTACGAGTCACTTGGATTTTACAAATACGTGAGCCGTTCACAGCCCGGCACACGTATCTGTAAAATCTAAGTGACTCGTACAACATGAAATTCATATAAAACGGAAAAATTAACAGTGTTATAGGGGGGTCGACTTGTATACAGTCGACCCCCATATAAGATCATTGATTTTTCCGTTTTATCTGAATTACATGTTGTACGAGTCACTTAGATTTTACAAATATGTGAGCCATTCACAGTCCGGCACACGTATTTGTAAAATCTAAGTGACTCGTACAACATGTAATTCAGATAAAACGGAAAAATCAATGATCTTATATGGGGGTCGACTGTATACAAGTCGACCCCCCTATAACACTGTTAATTTTTCCGTTTTATATGAATTTCATGTTGTACGAGTCACTTAGATTTTACAAATACGTGTGCCGGACTGTGAATGGCTCACATATTTGTAAAATCTAAGTGACTCGTACAACATGTAATTCAGATAAAACGGAAAAATCAATGATCTTATAGGGGGGTCGACTGTATA